AACATAGCCGTACTGGTCTTATAATTAGTGTTTGCATTGTATATGTTTTTGCATCCTTTTACTTTCAACATAGCTGTCCTTAAGTTCAAAATATGTTTCTTGTAGTCAGCATACAGTTGAGTCTTTTTAAAAATTGTGGTTAGATACACATAACACAAAATGTTCCATCTTAACCAATTTTAAGTTAAGCGGTAATAGGTACATTGACATTTTTGTGCAACAATTACCACCAGTCATCTCTAGAATTCTTTTAATTTCGCAGAACTAAAACTCTGTATCCATTGAAAAATAATGTGTCATTCCCCCTTTTCCTAGCCCCTGGAAACCACCATTCTCCTTTCTGTCTCTATGACTCTGACTATGCTAGATATTTCACATCAGTGGAATCATACAATATTTGTCTTTTTATGATGGCTTATTTCACTTAGCCTAATGTTCTCAACGTTCATCTGTGTTGTAGCATGTGTCAGAATTTTCTTCTTTTTTGAGACTGAAATACATTCCATTGTAGGTACATACCACATTTTGTTTATCCATTCACCTGTAGTTGCACACCTCGGTTGTTTCCACCTTTTGGCTATTGCGAAGAATGCTGCTATGAACATATACATGTATCTGTTCAAAACCTTGTTGTCAGTTTTTTGTGTATATATCCAGAAGTGGAATTGCTATATGGTAATATAATAATTCTATTTTTAATTTTTTGAGGAACTGCCATATTATTTTCCATAGCAGCTGTAACATTTTATATTCTCACCAACGATGTACAGGGTTTCAATTTCTCTACATCCTCACCAACACTTATTTTCTGTGTTTTTGATAGTAGCTATCCTAATGAATGTGCGGGGGTATCTAATTGTGGTTTTGATTTGCAGTTCTCTAGTGATTAGGAATATTAAGCATCTTTTCGTATCCTTATTGCATTTGTATATCTTTTGGAGAAGTGTCTATTCAAGTCCTTTGCCCATTTTTTAATCAGATGGGTTTTTTGGTTGTTGAATTACATGAGTTCTTTATATATTTTGGATATTAATCCCTTATCAGACATGATTTGAAGATATTTTTTCCCCTTTCATCAGTTGCCTTTTCACTTTGTTTATTGTGTCTTTTGATGCACAAAAGATTTAAATATTTATGTAGGTTTTTAAAAAATGTTGTTTTATAATAACTGTCTTTTAATGGCATTGTTTAATTCATTTTCATTTCATATAATTACTGATATGATTCAAGTTCACCAACTTGCAATCTCGTTCGATTTGTCTGATCTGTTCTTTGTTCCTCTTTTTCTGCTTTCTTTTTCTTAATCAAGCATTGACTTTTCAAGTGGTTCTCCCTTTTGAAAATTGTCCCAGGGAATACAGTATGCATCTTTAATTTGTAACAGTCGACTTTTAATTAACAACATACTATTTCACAAACAACATAAAAACCTTCCAATAGTATAATTCCATTTAACCTTCTGATCTTTATGTTGTTTTCAAATATTTTACTTCTATATACATAATAAACCCCATAATACTGTGTTATTTTTGTTTTAGATAGCCAGCTGTCTTTTATATTTACCCACATTTTACATTTTTAGAAATTGAGTGTAAGTTACATGCAGTGAAATGTACATGAACATAGTACTTACCGTGTGATTCTCTTTTGTGTTTGGCTTCTTTCACTGCACATAACGTTTTTAACACTTATCCATATTGTTATACACATCAATTATTCTTTTCTTAAGAGTAGAATTCCATGTTACTTGTATACTATAATTTGTTCATTTTGTTGATGGATATTTCAGATAATTACATTTTTTGATGATTATGAATAAAGCTGCTATAAACATTCTTGTTCAAGCCTTTTCGTGGACATAAGATTCCTTTCTCTTGGGAATATAAGAATGGAATTGCTGGAATCATAGGGGAGGTTTATATTTAATTTATGAAAATCTGCCAGACAGATTTTAAGGTATCTGTGTATGCAACTCCCGTCAGCTATATGTGAGCATTCCAGTTGTTCTACACCCTTATCAACACTTGGTTTGTTGATCTTTTTTTAGTTATCCCGGTGGTTGTGCAGTAGAATCTCATGGTGATTTTACTTTGCATTTTCCTGATGACTAATAAGGTTCAGCATCACTTGATGAGCTTACAGACATTTGTATATCTTGGTATGAGTGCTCATTCAAGTCTTTCACAAAATTTTTGGATTATCTTTTTAATTATTTCTGACTTGAAGGAATCAGTTTTATTCTGGATACAAGTTCTTTGTCAGTTTTATTCTGGATACAAAAAATATTGAAAATATTTTTTCCAGTCTGTAATTTGCCTTTTCATTTAATTAACATTGTGTTTGATGAGTAATTTTAATTTTGAGGAATCCCAATTTATTTATTTTTCTTTCATGACTAATGCTTTTTATGTCCTCATTAATAGATCTGTCCTCTAAGATTGTGAAGATTTTCTTCTCTATTTTCTTCTAGAAATTTTATAGTTTTAGCTTTCACATTTAGATTTATGTCAATCTTGAATTAATTTTCATATGTATTGTGATGTAGAAACCATTGAGTTTTTTTTAACTTAAAAAATTTAATACATGTTTAAAGTAGTTGTTCCTTTGTGTGTGATATAAATGAAATAAACACTTTTTCTGAAGGTCTGAAAGTCAGGGTTTCTTTCTTAGATGGTTTGGAAGAAGTCTGTGCTGGGTTCAAAAAATATTTTCAATATTTTTTGTATCCAGAATAAAACTGATGAAGAATTTGTATCCAGAATAAAACTGATTCCTTCAAGTCAGAAATAATTAAAAAGATAATCCAAAAATTTTGTGAAAGGCTTGAATGAGCACTCATACCAAGATATACAAATGTCAGTAAGCTCATCAAGTGATGCTCAATCTTATTAGTCATCAGGAAAATGCAAAGTAAAATCACCATGAGATTCTACTGCACAACTACCAGGATAGCTAAAAAAAGATCAACAAACCAAGTGTTGGCAAGGGTGTGGAACAACTGGAATGCTCATATATAACTGGCGGGAGTTGCATACACAGATACCTTAAAATCTGTCTGGCAGACTTTGGTAAATTAAATATAAGCCTCCCTCATGATTCCAGCAATTCCATTCTTATATTCCCAAGAGAAAGGAATCTTATGTCCACAAAAAGACTTGAACAAGAATGTTTACAGCAGCTTTATTCATAATCATCAAAAATGTAATCATCTGAAATGTCCATAAGTAATGTAATTAGCATTTTGAAATTTCATAAACAGAGAGAAGAGAGAAAATGGAGGAAGAAAACTGTTACAAAATAATTTAAGAAAATTTTCTCGCTGAAAGTGTCCACTGAATGATGGCTAGCAAAGTGGATGAAAGTAAACTGACATTAATCCAGATCATAAAATTTCTAAATGCTAATTACAGAAGAATATCTGTAAAGCTTCCTAAGAGGAAGAGAAAAGAACATAAATAAGAGACCTGCAACAAAATTGGCTTTAGACTTCAACAGCAATAATGGAACCTAGAATATAATAGAGTAATACCTCCAAAAATTTGTGAGAAAATTATTTCCAACCTAGAATTTTTCTACCATACAAAACTATTAATTATGTTTTGGTATACAATGCCAACATTTTCAGACATGCATGGTCTCAAAAGAATTTATCTCCTATTCACAAGTCTATCAGGAAACTACTGGAAAAAGAAAACATGGAATCAAAGTATCAGGATCCAGCAAAAAACATAAGTGAGGGAATCCAAGGCAAGAAGGAGGAGGTAGATCCCGTGGCCACAGTTTTGTAGGAGTTCTAGAGAGGTTTCACTGCAGATTGGAGCAGCTCAGAATAAATATCTTCGAGAATATGAAACTGTCAAAATCAGTGTTATTGTTAGGAATTCACAGAAAAAAGACCTTTGAAGGTAGTATGAAAAAGTTAGGAAAAATTATTATTTCAGAGCATGGTACACTAATTTCTCTTGGTTACATACCCTCACACACATGTTTTGAATAAGTAGTCAAGAAGAGGAAAAGTAAGCTAAGTGGTGCAGAGGGGCATTTGTATATACACAAACTTGCAATAAACCTGACTTTGTACAGAATAATTAGTATTCTGATCCTACTGGAGCAGAATATATTTGTGGGTACTAGTGAAATATTGTAGATAACTGGATTTGTTGGCTTAAGAGTGTTACAGATGGGCTTTGAGCACAGGAATTATGTATATCATTTGAATATTTTGGCAGCACAGTCTAGTTAGGTTATTACTGGTTGGTTTGTTTTGAGGAAATGAGAATAAAATTTGAGAAAAGCCTAAGTTTATAATAGTCACAGTAAGTGGAAGCCTTAAGTGTCAAGATTTAATATTAGATTTAAAGGGAAATGTGGTTTCAGAGGCAAGAAAAGAAGTATCTAGGGATGAAGACAATAGGGGAAGGAAGTAATGATCAATACAAATTCGGAGAACAGGAGCTATAATAGGATAAGACACTGATGTTTTTCACAATTGCTTATGAAGCACCAACTATGTGCCAAGCCCCAGACCAGCAATCAGAAGAGTAATACATCTGATTGTGGGCTGCATAGCTTGGTTTCTGTCTGATTTTATATGTCTTGTTGAGCCAATTTTATCTTCCTTCTCCTTTCAGATGAAGAATTTAGATTTGAAACCACAAAAGTGGGAATTTCTGAAGAATATTTCTTCCCTTTTGAGATGTTGGATCATTTCACAAGAGATACTTTGCTTTGCTCCATTTTAGAAAATTAACAAATTGTGGCAAATCAAGGCAAATTTTAAGTCAACTTAGAGGTGGTAATTCAGAACTTAGTATCCATCAGAGAAATTATACTCAGTTAAAACCTTATGAGTGTTCTAAATGTTTGAAAGCGTTCTCTCAGAAACTCATCTTGTAAGACATCTGTTAATTCATATTGGTGAGAAAACTTATGACAGCAAAAGATGTGAGAAAGCCTTCAGAAGTAAGACAACATTCATTATACATCAGAGGGAAATAAATATGGGAGATAAAGCCAATGAATGTACAGAATGTGGAAAAGGCTTTTCTCATAAGGTAGATCTCAAGACACATCAGAAAATTCACACTTGGGAGAAGTCCTATGAATGTGCTGAGTGTGGGAAAAACTTATGTAACCTAGATCTCTGCAAGCCCTGGACAATTCATACTGGAGAGAAACCCTATGAATGTACCAAATGTAGAAAATCTTTCTCCCTAAAAGCACCCCTCATCAGGCATCAGAAAATTCATACCGGAAAAAACCCTTTGAAAGTAATGAATGTGGGAAAGCTTTCAGATTGAAGCCAGAACTCATCAGACATCAGAAGGTTCATTCTGAGGAGAAAGCCTTCTCCCAGAAAGGACACCTCATTAAGCATCAGTTAATTCATACTGGTGAAAAACCACATGATTGTAAATAGTGTAGAAGACCCTTCAGAAGTAAAACAGAACTTACTATTCATCAGAAGATTCATACTGGGGAGATACCCCATGAATGTGCAGAATGTAGAAAAGCCTTATCTTGTAAGGCAGGTCCTAAGACACATCAGAAAAGTCATACTGGGGAAAAGCCCCATGAATGTATTGAATATTGGAAAGCCTTCAGCAGGAAATCAAAACTCATCCGATGTCAGAGGATTCATTCTGAAGAGAAACCCCATGAGTGTAATGAAAGTTGGAAAGCCTTCTCTCAGCAATCATACCTCATTAATACATGGTGGTGAGAAGCACCATGAATATAATTATGGGAGACACTTCATTAGGAAGGAATAACTCATTAGACAGAAGAATATTTGTGCTGAAGAAAATCCATCTGAACATACTGGATGTTGAAAAGTCTTTTCCTGTAATGCACAATTTGTTAAGGATCATTTAATTCATACTAGTGAAAAACCTCATTAAAGCAATTAATATGGAAAAGACTGAAAAGCCAGAACTCATACATAAGAGGATTCAATGTAGGGAAAACCTGTACTTAACACAGGATGGCTCTTGCATGGCAGTGAGAGCTAATTACACATTATAGAACTCCCACAAGGGAGAAAAACCTATAAATTTACTGAATGTGGAACAGTGAACAATATGGCTGAGGTCTTCTTAAACTAGAAAATTCGTACAAAGAGGAAGCTATTATGTTGATATATTTTGAAAGCATTTTTATAGAAATTCTTGTTAGGCATGTAATTCCAAAATTTTTATGGAAAACGAAGGAAAGCAATTTAAAATCACAATTGTGTTCACTGTGGAGTATGAAGCTTGGGAAAGTGAAAACAAATGGAACTACACAGTAACCAACTTCATATATGGATGGTTCCAAATAATGTAGTGTTTATGCTGCTGAATACATTATATAAAACTAACTATCATGATGCAGGGAATTTCTTATGTAAATTTAATGTGATTCTGACAATAATTATTTTCTTCTCTGGAGTACGTACAATTCTTTTTTTAATAGTAAACCCATTTTATTGATGAGGAAATTAAGGTTATATAACTTACAATGTAACTTGAGAAAGGGAAAATGTCAGCTTGACTTCGAAACACTTAACCTCTATACTATAATAAGTTGTTTTTTATTTTTAAATTGAGATATAATAAACATATAAAATTGTATTAGTTTTAGGTGTACAACATAATGATTTGATAATTATACATATTGCAAAGTGATCACCACAATAAGTCTAGGTAACATCTGTCACCACACATAGCTACAAAAATTTTTTTCTTGTGATGAGAAATTTTAAGATCTACTCTCTTAGTTACTTTCAAATATACAATAGTGTTATTTACTATAGTTATCATGCTGTACACTACATGACATTTATTTTATAACTGGAATTTTGCACCTTATGACATCCTTCACTCATTTTACCCACCCACCCTCTCCTCTGGCAATGACCAAACTGTTCTCTGTATATATGACTTCCATTTTTTTGTTTTTAGATTCCAGGTATAAGTGAGATCATACAGTACCTTTCTCTGACTTATTTCACTTAACATAATGCCCTTAGGGTGCATCCTTGTTGGCAAAAAGGGCAGGATTTCTTTCTTTTTATGGCTGAATAATTTTCCATTGTGTATATCACATTTTCTTTATCCACTCATTATCAGCAGATACATAGAACTTCTCCACATTTTGGCTATTGTAAATAAATGCTGCAATGAACACAGGGGTGTAGATATCTTTTCAAGTTAGTGTTTAATTTTCTTAGGATAAATACCCAGAAGTGGAATTGCTGGATTACATGGTATTTCTATTTTTAATTTTTTGAGGAAACTCCATGCTGTTCTCCACAGTGGCTGCAAAAATTTACATTCCCACCAACAGTGCACAAGGATTTTCCTTGACGATGTGCAGCAAAGGGAATCCCTGTGCACTGCTGGTGGCAATGTAAATAGCTTTACCCACTACAGATAATACTGGATAGGTTACACAAAAACTTAAAAATAGAACTAAGGATCCAGCAATCCCACTTCTGGGTATTTATTTAAAGAAAATGAAAACAGTAATTCAAAGAGATAACTGCACCCTCATGTTCATTGCAGCATTATTCACAATAGCCAAGATATGGAAACAACATTGGTGTCCGTTGATGGATGAATGAATATATACATATATCTATATCTATGCATGTCTCAATTTTTCAGCCATAAAAAGAATGAAATCTTGTCATCTGCAACAACATGAATGGACTTCAAGGGCATTATGTTAGGTGAAATAAGTCAGATAGAGAAAGACAAATACTGTATGATCTCTCTTATATGTAGACTATAAAATAAATATAAACACACAAACACACACACACCAAACACCAAGCTAATAGATACAGAGAACAAATTGGAGGCAGGGGGTGGGAGGTAAACTGTTTTTGTTTTTTGTTTTTAGCTAAAATAAATTTTATACATAAATGCAATGAATGAACAAACCAATGAATATAGTATCCCTAACTTAATGGTACCTAATAAATACAAATATCTACTATTAAGTTTTAAAAACCACATTTTCAGCCATCATTTATTAAATTCTTTTTTTTTTAAACATCTTTATTGGAGTACAATTGCTTTACAATGGTGTGTTAGTTTCTACTGTATAACAAAGTGAATCAGCTATATGTATACATATATCCCCATATCCCCTCCCTCTTGAGCCTCCCTCCCACCCTCCCTATCCCACCCCTCTAGGTGGTCACAAAGCACCGAGCTGATCTCCCTGTGCTATGCGGCTGCTTCCCACTAGCTATCTATTTTACGTTTGGTAGTATATATAAGTCTATGCCACTCTCTCACTTCGTCCCAGCTTACCCTTCCCCCTCCCCATGTTAAATTGTCTTTTTATTTCTCCTCAGCCACAGCACAGTTCACATAGGCTGTCAAACTTCAGCCTCAAATATACATTCTCTCCAGTCTCTTCTCAACTTTGGGCAATACAAAGCATTTGTGAAGAATCCTGACCAAAGGGATCCAAGATAACTAAGTTTGGGGCCCCCTCTATCACATGGCTGGACCTGGGGATCCCTGGACCACAGTCCCTCCTGACCAGGTAGAGCATGAGTGAGAGAGCATTCCTGCTTTATTTCTTTGTATTAGTGTATCTAATGCCATGTCTCTCCATTCATTTTGGTGACATATGTACATGGAAAATAAAAATGTTCTTCTCTCTCAACTTTCACTGTCATTGAATGAATTGTTAAATCTTAATTTAGTATTCAAAATCTTAACTTGAATTTTTAAAGCATTTATGTCTGTTATTACCCATCAGACTGTCATGAATCTGGGTTTTTAAAATCTGAAGCATATATCATTTGGGGTCCATCTTTCAAGAATCCAGAAATAGGTACAAAATTGAAATATTTAGAAAACCACAAGTTAAACATTTTAAAAAATCACAAAAGCCAACATATGTAGTAACATTTAACTTCCTAAGACATCTAATAGTTGCCATTGTACATTGGCTGCACAAATTTTTCCTTTTTTTTTAAAAAACAACTTTTTTGAGGTAATATTTACGTCATGAAATTCACCCATTTCTTTCTTTCTTTTTTTTTTTTTTTTTGGCGGTACGCGGGCCTCTCACTGCTGTGGCCTCTCCCGCTGCAGAGCACAGGCTCCGGACGCACAGGCTCAGCGGCCATGGCTCATGGGCCCAGCCGCTCTGCGGCATGTGGGATCCTCCCGGACAGGGGCACGAACCTGCGTCCCCTGCATCGGCAGGCGGACTCTCAACCACTGCACCACCAGGGAAGCCCAAAATTCACCCATTTCAATTCACCCAATTCAATGAATTTTAGTAAGTATAACAAATTGTGCAGCCATTACCACAATTCAGTTTTAGAACATTTCGATAAGCCCAACAAGATCCCCTTGCCCACTTGCAGGCCCTGACAACAACTAATCTACTTTCTGTCTCAATTGATTTGATGTCTGGACTTTTCATACAAATGCAGTTGTACAATATGTGGGGTCTTCTGTGTCTGGCTTCTTTCACTTATCATAATGTTTTTGAGATTCATCCATGCTTTAGCATGTACCAGTACATCATTCTTTTTAATTACCAAATAATATTCCATTGTATGAATATACCACATTTTCCTTGTCCATTCATTAGTTAATGAACATTTGTGTTGTTTTCACTTACTGACATTTATAAATAATAATACTGTAAACGTTCATGTACAAGTTTTTTTGTGGGTAGATATTTTCATTTACTGCATACAGATACCTAGGAGTGGAATTGTGGGGTCATATGGTAAATTTATCACATTTATATTTTAGGGTGCCCCCCACATTCTGCTTTCTAGTAGAATTATTTATTCTTTTGTTCTACCTTCTACACCAGTCTGGGAATACCTTGAGAGCAGGAACCAGGCTTCACACATGATTGTTTCCCCCATTATGCCTTGTTTATTGTTTGGTAAATGAACAATGGGTTCTGGTCAATCACTCTGATGCAGGAAAGAAAACAATGTTACTCAAGCCTGGGCTCTGAAGTGTGAGGTTGAGGCACATAATGGGCCAACAAGAAATTGAGGATCAGCAAGAGGAGTATAGGAAACTATGCTCAATTGCATTATTGTTGCCAATTCTTCAACCCTCTCCATATCTCTGCTCTTTGCTGTGTGACTTTCCATATGCTTCCACTGAAGCTACAGTCTATTTCTCTGCCCCACTGATGTTGGGCATAGTCATATGACTTGCTCTTGCCAATGAGGTAGGCACAAGTGACAGTGTACCAGCCCTGAGACTAAGCTTAACAGTCATGTGTTTCTACTGCCCCTTCAGAAGCTTCTGTCATTACTATGATAAGAAATTGTCTTGGGTAGTCCTGTGGTCTAGGGAGGATGAGAGAGACACGTGGAAAAGACCTATATGTAATTTGCGCTTGGATCCAGTCGAGCCTGGACCAGCTGACTCCCAGCCAACCTATAGACTTAAGAATGAGAATAAATGATGGTTCTGTTAAGCTACTGAGTTTTGGGGTGTTTCATTATACAGGATTAGTGTGGCAATTGTTGACAGATATGGAAACCAAATAAAGATTATCCTACACAGGTATAAAGCCAGGATACTTCAGACTTGGAATTCTGAATGTAGATCTCATTGGCACAGAAGTGGAAGCTAGAAAATATGTCAACAGGAATGGATAAAGACAGAGTGGTTAGGTGAGTGCTTGTCAGTTGAAGAGATTGAGAAGGGTGTGGAAGGCCAATAATAATATTTTATATTA